GTGGAAACGTCGCCGTCGAGGAGTCAGTCGGAGAGTGGGTCTGCGCCCGTGCAGACGCTGGCCCATGCGTCACCTTCCACACCTCCAGAGACATCGTCTCGTAGAAGATAGCCTCGACCGTTGTGACAAGCTTGTTGTCAGTCAGGTCGAGCACTTCCCATCCCTTGCTCTCCGGTGACACACCCAGGTGTAGCCCCCAACGAGCCTTCGACGCCAGCTTCCCACCACGCTGCTGCTCAGGGACCATGAGCTGCACCATGCAGCCCCACACCCTCGCCAGAGTGAGATCAGGCTTCTTGCCTGTCAGCAGCTGGTGCGGCGTCGTCCCCAGAGGCAGCGTCGACCGCTCCAAGCAGTTGCGCACCCAGACGGCCTGCCGCAGGGCAAGATGCCACCAGTGGTGCTGCACGCCCATGTGCAGCAGCATCGTCCGCACGGCCTCGACGACCGTCTGCATCTCCCTCTCCGCCATGCCGTTCTGCTGCGGAGTGTACGGACAGGTCAGGTCGTGGACGATGCCTTTGCCGTTGACGAAGTTGGTGAAGTCCTTCCCCAGGAACTCGCCTCCGCGGTCAGAGCGGAGCATCATCACCGATTTCTTGGTTTGCCTCTCCACGACCACCAGCCACTGCTTAAACACTTCCAGGATGTCGCTTTTCTTGGCGACCGGCCTCACCCAAACGTAGCGAGTCTTTCGATCCTTCAGCAGAAGGAAGTAATAGCTGCCATCCTTGGCAGCCACTCGGAACGGTCCGCACAAGTCAATGTGCACAACGGCAAGGGCTTCCTCCGCATCCGAACCTTTGTTGGGGAAGGTATGCCGTGCAAGTTTGCCACCTACGCAGGAGACGCACGGCAAATCGGTCCCTATGGAAGGCGTGATGTCCAGGCCAGTGGCAACATTGTGCTTCGCCGAGCTCTTGATGATGTCGACACCAACGTGCGCAAGCCTCGCGTGCCACCTGGGCGGCGTCGACTTCGTTGCCGAAGCAATCGTTCGCAGAGCCACCACCTCAGTCGACTTCGATGACAGCTTTGTCGAGAAGGGTTGAAGGTGCTCGACCGAGCACCTCCCCAGTCGCGTTGACGAGCATCGTCTCATCACCGTCGTCCTGCAGCTGCACACCATTCTCCTTCAGCTGACCAGCTGACAGCAGGTTCGCCTGCACGCCCGGGACGTAGAGCACGTCGGGGATGAGGACCTGCTTCCCGGCCTCCCCTTGCAAAGCGACGGTGCCTCGGCCCTCGACGGTCTGCAGAGCCCCGTTGAAGCCATGCACATGCTTCACATTGCCGCTCGGCCCCATGTCGACGAAGGCCTCCTTCGAACCCATGAGGTGGTGTGAGCAACCGCTGTCGAGCAGAACCACCATTGGATTTGCCTGCACGGCTGCGGCGACTGCTTTGAAGTCTTCGCCGGCCTCTGGTGCCAGCGAAACAGTCTGCTCCACCATGCTGACCATTGAGCAGGAAGCGTCTCCATCACCTTGCCCCTTGCCGCTGGAGGAGTCGACCTCCTTCGTCAAAGACGTCTGCTTCTCCTTGCGCGGCTTCTCGTCCCGACTTTGACGACCGTTGGCCGACCTTCCGCGGCCTCCCTTGTGGTCATCGTCGTAAGTGTCTTCTCGGTCAGGGCAGTTATAGGAGAGGTGGTCGGCGCTTCCGCAGACCCAGCACTCACGCCGTCGACCACCTTTGCCGCGACCACTGTCACGAGTTGATTTCGCCTGGTCGGCGTCCTTCGCCGACCTCCCACCTCCGCTACCACCTCCGCCAGACTTTCCTCGCTGCCCCCGCGGACGATTCTGTTTCGTCAGTGCAGCGTAACTCGCCTGCGGAAGGAGCTCCGTGGGCTGCTCTGCCTCCTGCATAGCCTCATCTTGAAGGATGTAGCTGGTGATTGAGTCCTCGTCGAGTGACTCCCGCGTGCCGGGCACCATCATCATCCTCTTCATGAGGTTGTAGCTACGCGGCAGGCCCTTGACAACGTGGGTGATGTAGGACGCCGTAGAGTATTCGGCGCCCGCCATCCGCATTTCGGCCAGTATTCGTCGAGCAAGGTTGCAGTAGTCCGTCGCCGACTCCTGCTCACCCATCCGTATGTGTGTCATTTTCTCCTCCAGCTGTCCGATGTACAGGTCGTCCTTGGCCTGGTACGTCGACAGGATGAAGTGCCATGCTTGGTGACCAGCATCCAGTCGCTCTCGACAGCTCCTGAGCGCTAGCTGCACCACCGGCGAGCAGCACCTCGAGATGACCATGAAAGTGAGCAAGTGAGCAGCACGAAACTCCCCGCGCAGCTCGACATCATCCTCGTGCGGAATTGGCACAGTGCCATCGGCGAAGCCCTTCAGCCCGGCGACCTCCAACTGTGGTTCTATCGACTCCCTCCAAGTGATGAGGTCCCGTCGACCTTGCAGAGGTGCGACGGTGATCTTGTCCGGCGAAAACTTGAAGTAGCCATACGCCGGCGCGATCCCGCCCGCTGCCACATGCGTCGTCGCCGAGAGACTTCCACTGCTTCGTTGAGGAGCCATCGGCCGCTGCACTCGTGCGTGACTCCCGCCAACACCACCGTCAACAGACCTGAGCACTCCTATCTGCCTCGTGCCCTCGTTGCCATGGACTCGTGCACCGCCGTCGACCTCCTCGTCGACGCCACCTTCGTTGCGTGTCGGTCGAGGAGATGCAGGACGGGAAGGGTGCTCCGTCGCCCACTGCGCCCGGATGCCCAGCTCGACGATCTCCAAGGGGATCGTCCCGTACTCGCCAGCCTCGTGGCGTCTCCTCGCATTAGCTAGTCGTGTCTCCAAGGTGTCCGCTACACCCGCTTCAACTACGGGGTCGACCATGGTGACTCCGAAGGCTGCCGGCCTACGAACGACATAGTAGGTGCAAAAGTCGGCTCCTTTCTGAAGGTATCCTTGCGGGGCCGTCCACGCTCACCGCACCATGAGGAGATAAACTCTACAACGGTGGGAGCTAGACTACAGGTTGGGCACTTGTTGTAGGAGTGATTGTAGCTATGTCTGTGTTCTCTAGGACTTGTGTTTTCACAGGGCAAAACAGCAAGAGTTTCACTAAGGAATGTTGAGAATACAGAGTTCAGAATGATAACAAGCAATGGCAAAGATGGACTACGGCACATGCAAGGTTTGCCAGTGCTCAGGCAGGTCGACTGCCAGCGTGACAGAGTTGTTGACCTTCATTGCGCTAACGATCTCACGCCTCTGCATTTCCATCAGTGAAAGGCCCGTCCCACTGAACCCTTCCTCTTAAACCTCGCCTCCCATCTTCCGCTGCATCCCTTCCGCTGCTCTCTGGCTGGCAGTCAGGAGATGCCAGCATGCCAACATTAACCTTTCCGGCCCATACGATTTGATATGTCCTCCTTTGTTGTGTTGTGTATCCTCCCATAACCACCTGATCTCAGGTTGTCCAATTTCTGTCCCTTCGATTCCATTTTGACGCAAACATATTTTGCCCATGCCCATTTTCTCCGACCTTTTGTGCTTTGATTTCTGTGCCGCACGCGTGCCTGCCCTACAGGGACCTATCTAACAACGAAATCACGGGCCGTATGCCTGCCACGTTTTCCGGCGCCCCAAGTCTTAAGTCCATGTGAGCAGCGCGCGCGTGTGTGCGTGCTCTTTTTTCTTTTCCTTATTTGTATGCTTTTTATATGACAATAATGTTCTTGCGTGTTGGAACACACTACACACACGTACACCTGCACTAACAGTCTTCTGCTTAAAAGGTTTCTCCTCCCAATATGCCTTCCTCCCAATGTGCCCTCCTCCCAATGTGCCCGGTTGCCACAGAAACCTCGCAAACAACAAGATCACGGGGACCATCCCTGCCACTTTGAGCGAGCTTGAAGATCTCACTGAACTGTTAGTGAGCACGCGCTTGCAACTGCAAGCACAGCACACATAGCTTGTACTGCGCTGATTGGTTCACCAGTTTTACCTCGGGTGGTGCAAGAGTTATGCTTGGATGGGGCATCATTTCAACTCTCTGTGATTCCAACAAGACAATTCCTAAGTCTTTATTTTTTTTTCTACAAACGAGAGTACAGTTGCTATCTCTCTCTCCCTCTTTCACATTCATCTCCAAGGTCAGTGCCATCATGCACGCTCTTTTCCTTTCATATGTCCCGTGCCCCAACTAATTTTGCCGTCCCGTGCCCCAACTGTTTTTCCCGTCCCGTGCCAACTGTTTTTCCCGTCCCGTGCCCCATCTGCTTGTCTCGTCCCATTGCCCCATTCACTTCAGATTCCAGTCAGGAAACCAGCTCTATGGCTCCATACCAGACAATCTCACAGCCATTCCATCCCTTTACACGCTGTGAGCACCTTTTCAGGACATCTCATAGCAGTCTTTGAGAGTTGTCAGCGATAGGTCACAGCACGCTGTCTGTGACTTCTCAGATTCCTAGCAAGATGATTTGGCACTTCACTCTTCTCCACGTCCTGACTCATGCAGTGCATGTTTCATCTTTCAGTTGTGTTCTGGTTACGATCACACCACTTGCTGTGCTCTAACTGCTGCGACGGCCATGCTCTTACTTACAACGGGTCCTCCAACTGACTCGGCCCAGAGATTTTCTAACTGGATCTGGTCGCTCTTCTGGTGGGCACGACACGACCAGCTCGACATGACCCGACCCGAACCAACCTGACTTTCGGGTCGGGATTTGCCAGCGGGTCGAAAAAACCCGACCCCGGATTGTGCCGACCTGGCCCGTTTGAGCCAGGTTGGTTAAGGCGAATCCCCAGGTTGGCAGACGACTGTAGTTGACCCAGCCTGGGTAAAACTGGGTCGGATCGGGTTGGGTCGGGTCAACCCTTGTCCTGTCCTCATGCGTAGCCTACTTGTGCGGACATCCACTCTCCCTCCACCCACTTACCTCTCCCACAGGCCACGTCTCTCCCACCCGCTGTTCTCGCAGAGACGTGGCACGCAATTACCTCACGGGGCCCATTCTGAATCCTGCCAGCATGCCAGAGTATGCCTACTATGACTACAGCAGCAACTACCTCTCGGGAGGCCTGCAAGAATCCGACTGCTCGCTGGACTCCATGCGTCTCGGCGCCAACTGCTTTTCCATTCCATCGGCAGCAGCAGCAGCAGCAGGCTCGTGCAAAGGTGCTGAGCAGCGGCCGGCAGCAGTGTGTGAGGCGTTCTTTGGGATTGCCAACATCACCACGCCTGCTTGCGGGGGCCTGGGAGTGTGCCACCCGGACGGTCCGAATCTTGTTCCCACGTGCCTGTGTCACGATGGGTTCGTGGAGGATGGAGGGATCTACTGCATCGCTGCGGGTACGTGCGTGTAGTGAAGAGGAGTACTATGCATGGCCGCATTCTTTCTGACAGAACTGCTTGCCATGTCGTGACAATCTGCTTCTCCAACGCGCTACTCTTCTTCCTCTCCTTGTGTTGCCGCATCCCCCTTGCTGCTGCAGGCTCGCTTCGAAACGGTGACGTGGTGGAGCCGACTGTTCTCACCAAGGGCACAGCAGCAGAGACAGGCAGTGTATTCACTGCCGACCCTCTCGTGCTCTTCTCGTACGATTCTGTCAAGGAGGGCTGTGGCACCCAGCTGCAGTTCCAAGCCAACTTCACCTTCTTCATGTTCCCCACTGCTGCTGCTGCTTCTGCGAGCAACCCCGATCGCCAGGGGGCCAACGGGCTGGCATTTGTGATTTCCGCGACGAACGCAGCAGGATCTGGCGGGGAGGGGGGAGGGGTGGGGTACGCTGGCATGGACGCTCGGAGCATAGCCGTAGAGTTTGACACGTTCACAGATGCAGCGCATGGGGACATGCCCGGCCACCACGTGGGGCTCAACATTGGCGGCAGCGCCACTTCCGTCAAGGCCGTCCGTGCTCCCTTCCCACTCAACGGCGGCAATGCGTACACGGCATGGATTGACTACAAACCGGGAAGCCCAGGAACTCTGAGGGTGTATCTCGCTCGGGATGATATCAAACCTGGCGTGCCTCTACTGGAGAGCCCTCTGTCGATGTGTGACGTGTTGCAGCCAACTGCTGCTGAACCGTCCTTCTACTTTGGGTTTGTGGCGTCTACCGTGGCCCCTTACCTTCAACAGCACGCCATCCTGGTGTCTCTCATTCGAACAGGTGAGGAAAGCTTTTCAGGGAATGTTCTTTTCTGGGCACAGCAACGCAATTTGCGATGTTTTAGGCTTCCAAATCAAGCAGACACCCGAGGCTTGTCGGTGGGCCATGCCATGCCATGCCATGCCATGTTGTGCCCCAGATTGTGCTGCTTCCTTGCTGTGATTTCCACCTGCTGCACTTACTCACCTGCACAAATTGGGTCCCTTCTTAGACGCCATGCCAGAAAACCCTGGCTCTTAAACAAATCCCTGTTCCACCCAGTCTCTCGTCTTCCAATCTTTGTCCTTTTCTTCCACTTTGCCTGCAGTCTTTTGTCCGCACCGCAGGGTTTTTGGTTTCCGCAAAGCCCAATACAGTATCCATCGTTCCAGGTATGTTGCGCTGTCTTGTATGTCAGAATGAACAAGGGTGATTGCACTAGGAAAGAGTTGGGTACAAGTAGGAAACCCTGAACTTACTGTACCCCATAGTAACTACCCCACTACAGCCTAAACAAACTGTAGCAGATGTAACATTTGACACACCCCCATAGGCAAAGTGGGGGAGAGCAAGGGGTCACAAGACCAGTCAAGAAAGGCAAAGCAAGCTCAGGGTGGATCACAACGTCACCACACACTCTGAGCACAAGCAAAGGGCCACAAGGCCAGTCCACATGCAGAGGCATATATGCAACACAAACAGCACAGTGATCTCTACCTAGCAAAGCAAGCATGCAGGTATATATATGTATATATATACATATATATAGATCACAGTACAAGCAAAGCCTACAGCAAGTGAGGAAAAGTGGGCACAAGCCCTAGCATAGTGCAGAAACGCTGATGATCACCAGACTGAAGTGCCTTGGTGAATATATCAGCAGTGTTGGCCCGAGTGGCCACGTAACGCAGACGAAGCTGACCACGCTGCTGCAACTCTCGAGCCAGGAAGTAACGCAGAGCGATGTGCTTCGTTTTGTGCTCCAGTCTGTGCTCCTCACACAAGGCAATGGTAGCCTTGTTGTCGACGTACAGCACTGGAGGAGAACGAGGCCGCTCTCCCAAGTCAGTCAGCAGGTAGGTGAGCCAGCGTAACTCCTGTGCAGCCATGGCTGTGGCGTAGATCTCAGCCTCACAACTGGAGCTGAGAACTGAAGACGAACGTGTAGAACGCCAAGAAACTGAACCAGAGCCAAGGCTGAAGGTGTAACCCTGTGACGACCGCTGAGTAGCTTGGTCGTCAACCCAAGAAGCGTCTGAGTGCCCAGTGAGGACAACTGAGCTCCTCCCTCCAAGCACGAGTCCCATGCCTGATGTACTGCACAAGTAGCGCAATACCCTCTTAGCAACATCCATGTGCACCTTTCGGTGCCAACCAGGAGCCACGTAGCGAGCCAGAAGGCCAAGAGGGTACGCGAGGTCAGGACGAGTGCAAGTCATCAGGTACATGAGACAGCCAACTAGCTCTGGGTAAGGACCACTCGTCTCTACGGACTCGTCCGAAGGTGGAGCTGAGAGCGAGTGACCTGTAGCCAGAGGAGTGGCCTGTGCCGAGGACCAGGTGAAGCCGAAGCGCTGAAGGACCTGCTGCACCATGTGTGACTGAGTCAGTGTGATGGTGCGGCGTGCTCTGTCCCGGGTGATCTGCAAGCCAAGGTAGCTGCGCAGTTCACCCAGGTCTGTGCACGTGTGTCTCTTCTGCAGCTCCGACTTCACCAGGGCGAGAGCCTCAGTGTCAGCAGTGGCAAAGACCAAGTCGTCGACGTACACGAGGATGTAGAATGGCGGCAGCGAAGTGTCGGTGCGCAGAAACAGCGACGGGTCAGCAGTAGAAGGCGCGAACCCAAGAGCCGCAAGTGTAGTCCTCAGTGTGTCGTGCCACTCACGTGGCGCATGGCGGAGACCGTAGACCGGCCGCCGGAGGCTCCACTGGGTACCAGGAGGGAACGACCCAGTGAAGCCAGGACGGCGGCGCAGCCAGATCTCCTCGTGCAGGCTGCCCTGCAAGAAAGCTGTGCTGAAGTCAAGAGAGTGAAGCTCGTAGTCACGCTGAGCGGCAACGTGCAGTAGCACCCGAAGAGTGGTCATCTTCGGGGTGGGGGAGAAGGTCTGGAAGAAGTCTACTCCATCTCGCTGACTGAAGCCTCGAGCAACGTAACGAGCCTTGAAGACAGGCGGAGAACCTGGCGGCCGCTTCACCCTGAAAATCCACATGCCACTGACGATGTTCGCCCCAGGAGGGGGAACCTCGTCGACGTAAGTGCCAGTGGACTTCCAGGATGCCATCTCTGCGTCCATGGCTGACTGCCACTGAGAGGAGTACTCACCCGCGATCGCCTCAGCGTAAGAGCGCGGGGTCGGGATGTCTGGTGCATCCGGGTCTCCCTCAGGTGCAATCAGCATGGACACGAGATGAGGTACAGCGGCGGCAAAGCACTCAAACTCCTCCTGCCTGTCCTCAAGGACGTCCGTGCCAAGAGCACACTCACCCCCGACGGACGGAGGACAGACAGACTCAGACTCAGACTCAGCAACAAGACTCGCAGCGTAGTCTAGACGACAGTGAGCAGCAAAGTCGACAAGCTCAGCAACTAAGGCAGACGCAGCAGCTGACTCGAAGGAAGGGTCAGTGACAGCAGTGGCCAGGAGACGCGTGACAGTAGGACTAGCAGCACGAAGAGAGTCAGACTCTGGGTCAGCAAGGGCAGGAAGAGAGGACGCAGGAGGAGAAGGCAGCGGGACACGCTGTGGAGCAGTGGAAGGACGAAGCGCCATCTGGTGAGTGCCTGGGACAGCAGGAGGACGCTGACGCGAGACACGACGACCAGTGCGAGCAGCACGAACAGGTGACGCAGACCGAGACTCAGGCGACACAGGACGAGACTCAGGCTCACGACGCTCCGTAAGACCGCCTGTCGGACCAGTGTAGGGAGAAGGACCAGGGAGTGGCGAGGCAGGCGGTAGCTGTGACAGCGACTGGACAGGCGGAGGACACTCTAAGGAGGGAGCAGGACAAGGAGGAGGCGGCTGACCAAGAACCTGCTGAAGGAGGGGAACGAAGTACGGCTGTGGCCGTGAAGTGCCCCCAGAACCAGCAGAGACAGCACCAGAACCTCCAGTAGCAGCTCCAACTCGCTCAGCACCACCAGCAGCTCCAATACCTCCAGCAGCACCAGCAGCACCTCCAGCAGGACCAGCACTAGCAGCACCTCCAGCAGCACCAGTACCTCCAGCAGCACCAGCCCCAGTACCAGCAGCACCACCAGTAGCTCCAGCAGCTCCAGTACCTCCAGCAGCACCAGCAGCACCTCCAGCAGGACCAGCTCCAGCAGCTCCAGTAGCACCCCCAGTCCCAGCAGCTCCAGTACCGCCAGTACGAGCACCTCCAGGACCAGTGGCTCCAGCACCTCCAGCGCAAACCCCAGGGTCAGCAGCAAGACCAACTCCAGTAGGCTCAGCGCCCTCAGCTCCAGCTCCAGTAGCACCTCCAGCTCCCACAGCACCACGGCGGTGGCGACAGTAACGAGAGTACCACTCACGCAGCTGCTGGGAAGAGAGAACGCCCCCAGGCGCAGCACCCCCAGGCTCAGGACCTCCAGACTCAGCACCCCCAGGGACAGCACCCCCAGTCTCAGCACCCCCAGGCTCAGCACCCGCAGTCTCCGCACCCCCAGGCTCAGCACCCCCAGTCTCAGCACGCTCAGGCTCAGCACGCTCAGGCTCAGCACGCTCAGGCTCAGCACGCTCAGTACCTCGCGCAGGACCAGAGTCGACAGCTACCTCGACAGGCTCGACCGGGTCTACCTGGGAAACACCTGAGGGAGCAGGACCCTGGGGAGGCAGGGGGTCTACCGAAGCAGCACCTGGCGTGAGGAAGAGCGGCGGAGGGGGGAGCGGGGCAGTGCGGTAGGGGAAGAGACGGTAAAAGGGGACCGACTCGTCAAACGTGACGTCCTGAGAGGGGAAGACACGGCGCGAGGTGGGGTGGTAAAACTGCCAGCCAGGCGCGTCAGGGACAAAGCCCAGGAAGACACAAGGAACGGCACGGGAGGAGAGCTTGTCCGCGGACGTATCGCGGACAAAGGCACGAGATCCCCAGACACGGAACACAGACGCATCGCCAACCGCTCCCGTCCAACGCAGTGTCGGCGAGGTCTCCGGAACGGAGACACGGGGCCAGAGGTTGAGCTGATGCGCAGCGTACTGGACCGCAAACGGCCACAGAAAATGGGGGGCAGCCGCATGGATCAAGGAGGTACGAGCGACCTCCATGACCAAGCCAATGCGGCGCTCAGCAACCCCATTCTGCTGAGGAGAGGCCGGAAGCGTGAACGTCTGCTCAATGCCCTCCCCCTGACAGAAGGCCTCCAAGAGGCCGGAGGAAAACTCACCACCTCTGTCAGAGTGCAGTCGCAGGACGGGAAGGTCCGTGCGAAAGCGCCTCTCCAGCTGGAGACGAGTAGCGCGGATCCAAGGGATCAAGACAGCAGGGACCTCTCCCTTGTTGCGCAAGGGGAAGACCGTGGTGTAACGCGTGTAGTCGTCAACTACCAGCAGGAAGTAGCGCTCTCCGCCCTGTCCACGGACGCGGGCTGGGCCCCACACGTCCATGTGAAGGGTCTGCAGAGGAGCCTCCGTCGGGGGGAACTCAGAGGAGAGAGGAGTGGCACGCTGCCGCCCCTCGACACAGGGAAGGCAAGGAGGGGCAGGGGACGGTGGCAGGGGAGGCAGTGACCTGGGGAGACCAGAGACAAGGAAACGAGAGTGCATGCCACGAAGGCGCTGCATCGAAGGGTGCCCAAGGCGGTGGTGCCAGAGGACCGTCCGGTGCGACAGGGTGCGACACGAGCAGGGGGCGGACAACTGACCTGACGCAGACGCAGACGCCGCTACCTGAGGGGACTCAGTGGTCAGTGTGTACAAGTCCGACCCCGGCGGCCGAGTGAAGGTAGCCAGGTGACGACCCGTTTGGGCACACGTGCAGTGTGTCACACGCTCGTAGGCAGGGGTGAACTGGTGAACACCCGCGTCCTGGAGCGCAGAACCCGCCACCAAGTTCGTAGAGAACGAGGGGAGGTAAAGGCCCGACAGTGTGCCGGACGGGACAGCAGGACAAGGGAGGGCAGTGGTGGAGGTCGCAAGGACCGGATCCCCGTGTCAACGGGAGTGTTGTAAGGCCCCGTC